CCAGAAAGCCCGTCAGGGCCCTCCCCTGAGCCGGGGTCCTGCCAACTCCAGGGGTGGGGGGCACCTGGGGAGGCTCCTCTGGGTGGAATGGAGGCAGACACAGGCCCACTGAGGTCCAAGTCCTTTCCCCACTGCCGGGCACCACTGCCGGGCACCACGGCCGGGCAGAGCAAGCGCAGAGGGCGGGGGCGGGGGGGGGACTCACTCTCTCCAGGGACATAGTCCTGGTTTTCCCGAAGGGCGTGCTTGGTGAGGCAGGGGACCAGGGCCACGGTCGCTCCGTCCGGGACCTGCTGACCACAGCTGGTGACCCCTCTGCCAGCCGCCCCCCAGACCTCTCCTCCAGCGCCCCCCCCGCCCCATACCTTGTAATGCTGCAGGGTGTTCAGGCGCCTCCACAGACCCTGGACCTCGGAAGTCACATCCTCGTCAGAAAGGATGAGGTGCCCGGCCACCCCGGACCGCCACTCTGCAGGGGAAGGCGGGGCTTGGTCCAGGACCCGGAGCCTGTCCCTTCCTCCAGGGGCCACGGCCCTCCATTGGGGGCAGCCCCCCAAACCTCGCCAAGGACCAGGAGCAGAAGCCCCTCCCCAGGTGAGAGGTGGTCCCTCTACAGCCCAGCTCTGCCCCCAGAACAGGTCCAGGCCAGCCCAGCCCAACGTGGGCTCTGCCCCCTCCGCCCTCACCGACATCCAGGGTGCGGGAGTCCGGCCTCTGGGCGAGCGGCAGGCCTTTGCAGAGCTGGTCCAGCACCTTCTCCTTGGCCTGGGAGATGGTGTCGCAGTCCAGCACCTTCACAGGCACGCCCTGGGCCTCTCCCGCCCCAGGCCCCACCGCCAGCAGCGCGTTCAAGGTCTGCACAGGACACACGGAGCATCAGGGCCCGGGCCACACGGGGACGGCCAGGTGCAGGGCCACGGGCAGGACCGCACGAGAAAGCCTCGGTGGCTGCCTCCATGTGGCCCAGCACCTAGCACCACGCCCGACAACCATCTGTGCTGTGAGTGGCATAAAGCATGAGCGTGGCTCCGTGGCTGAGCGTCGACCTATGAGCCAGGAGGTCACGGTTCGATCCCCAGTCAGGGCACAGGCCCGGGTTTGGGGCTCGACCCCAGTGTGGGGCTGCAGGAGGCAGCCGATCCACGATTCTCTCATCATCGATGTTCCTACCTCTCTCTCCTCCTTGAAATCAATACAAATGCATCGAAAAAAGCCGGGTGAGCACGGTCCCTCCTAACTCGAGCCCAGGCTCCTGGCTCCGCGGGCCAGGCTGAGGCCCCGGGGGACACCCCCCCCCCACCGGCCTAACGGACGAGCAGGTCTGGCGAAGCCTGAATGGGCTTTTCCCAAAGGACCTCTGGTGCGTCCCGAAGGGGAGAGCAAACCCAGGGGACGTAGCAGGCAGGTCGGCCAGGGTGGCGGCCCGCCTGGCGGGCACCTCACATCCTGACAGGACGACAAACACGCAGGCGCTGGCTCAGCGAGGGCTGGGACCGGCCCGGGCAGGGCTGGCTGCTCCCCAGACCCTGGCTTTGTCCGCTCTGACCCCATCCAAAGGCTGGGGGCTTCTGAGGCCGTGCTCAAGTTTCTGTCCTGCTAAGCTGGTCTGAAGAGGCCCCTCTCGCAGAGGCCTGGTGGTTCTATGCCCGGACACACACAGTCACACACAGTCACACACAGTCACACAGTCACACAGGCACACACACAGTCACACACAGCCACACACACAGTCACACACAGTCCCACAGTCACACACAGTCACACAGTCACAGTCACACACAGACACACACACACAGACACACACAGTCACACACACACTCACACAGTCACACACAGTCACACACAGTCACACAGTCACACAGGCACACACACAGTCACACACAGCCACACACACAGTCACACACAGTCCCACAGTCACACACAGTCACACAGTCACAGTCACACACAGACACACACACACAGACACACACAGTCACACACACACTCACACAGTCACACACAGTCACACACAGTCACACAGTCACACAGGCACACACACAGTCACACACAGCCACACACACAGTCACACACAGTCCCACAGTCACACACAGTCACACAGTCACAGTCACACACAGACACACACACACAGTCACACACAGTCACACAGTCACACACAGACACACACAGTCACATACAGTCACACAGAGTCACACAGTCACACACAGTCACACAGTCACACACAGTCACACACAGTCACACAGCCACACACAGACACACAGTCACGCAGTTGCACAGCTCGCCCTCCTCACCCCTCGGGACCGACGCTGGCACCCACGCGCAGCCTCACCAGCGGCTGGTACTCCACGTCCTCTCGGAGAAGGCGGTTGTCGTTCAGGGTGTACTTGGCTTTGCCAGTCACGCTGTCCACTGGCCCCTTGTCCACTTGATGCTTGATCCCCCGGAAGAGCATGTACAGAGGTTCCCCCACCGTGTCCTGGGGAGGGGCAGGAGACGGGCATGGGGCAGGCGACGGGCCGGGGGCAGAGGTGTATGGGACATGACCCGCACGGGGACAGGGACAGGATGCAGGCTGAAGAGGGCTTAAGGCACTGAGGACACGCTGGGCAGGTGTGCACGGCTGTGGGGCGAGGAGACCGCCCCTCCTGTACCCCTGCCTCCCTCACCCTCACGAAGGTGTAGAGGCAGATGGACATCCAGTTGGTGAGCAGCTTTTCCACCACCGTCTCTGTCCTGGGATGACAGCGGGGCAGGTGGGGGAGGCAGGTGGGCTGCAAGGCTCTCTGCTCTGCAGACCCCCAGACCCTGGGAGGTCCCCACTCGGCCCCTCCGCTCCCCCCACCCACACCGACCTGCGCAGCATCAGCTTGGGGTTCTTGGCCACGTACTGGGCCACCAGGTCACTGAGCAGCGTGCGGAGGATGTCCGTGAAGTACTCGAGCTTCCCGTGCAGCGCCACGGTCAGCAGGGACGCCACGTAGGCGCGGTCCCGCGCGGAGAAGGTGCGCTGGCTCTCCAGGGTGTGGATGAACTGGCGGGGAGAGGGAGGGGGGGTCGGGGGGGCGGTCAGAAC